ATATTAAAAGAACATTTTACCAGAGGGGAGGACAGCTGTACAAAGGCAAAGCCTCTGTTCTGGCCAGTCTGCTTGTCCTTGATGAGGCGGATGTTGTTAGATGAAAGATTAGCGTATGGTGACAGGATTTCCAGGATTGCTTCCACGGTGGCCAGAGAAGCAACGTTTCTCAAGATGATTGCTGTGCAGGTCAAAAGTCTCTGATTAATAACCAACACCATGGAAAAGGGACATTTTTTGTTCAAAACTGCGCAGGATAACATAATTCCTTACTGTCGCCATAGAAATCGCCGCTGGATTGACCGTCGGAGCCTCCAGTATTACTGCTGCTTTCACTGTCTGTTGAAAACGACAGAGAAGTAAGACGTGCATTAACATAACATTCAGAACTGTGTAATCCAAATAATTGAAACTGGGATATTGGGTGATAATTGTCTAATTGGGTCACTGTGCTAAAACGAGTTGGGTGTTTAAAATATGAGCCTTTTTTGTAAACTTCATTGTGTATGGTGTTTTATCTTCATGTTGCATTATTGCCAGGCAGCAGGGAAAGAAATGCATACCATTTCCAGTCAATGCACTTTACCGCCATCTGACAGTGACAACACTAATGAATCCATATCATTTGGTTTTTGGGGCCTCCACATCACCAAAAGACAAACTCAGGCTGCTTGGATGTCTGCAGTCAGCGGCCTTTGGTTGATTTAACTACTTACCGGCTTTGGCTGCTCCACACCTGAAGCACTTCAGCCTCCTCCGGAAATTGTACAGGCCACACTGCAAGTAACCGTTCACATCATTTTTATTATACACCTACTAAAGCCCTGAACAGTGCTGCCTCAGAAAACAGGCAAGCTATGCCATACTTACCTGGGACATAACCTAACCTTTACCGCTTATTCAAATGTAGACGCACTACAAAATAAGCTGACTGCAACAGTTGTAACTCGTGGGCCGAAAATATTTACTTCTTAGGTCTGTGTGTGTGAAACGTGTTCTGTGGTAGCATTTTGGGACACGGCGGCCATGAAACCAAGACACATCATTAACTTACAGTGTTGCAGAGCCAGTCTTCATACTTGTTTCTGGGATGACTGTAGTGCATGTCCACGCTTTTGCCTTGGATGGTCAGACGTTTCTGAAAGAGGAGGACAAAAGTCACTCAAACATTCCTGGCAAGTACCAACCTCAAAGGAGCAAGCAGTGTTGGAAGGAGGAGGAGGGGAGAGGGACCCCCAACAGACAGCCTTTGTGTTAAAGACAAGACAGGCACACGATGTATATGTGAGCATGATGTATAGAAAGTTTTAAGTGTTTGGGACCCGAGTGCCCAGGCTGAGCTGGAGCAAAGTGTACAGTGTGGCCCTAACAGGCATGTTGACTGCTTCAAAAGAAAGGAGAAACAAAAAGGAAGAACAAAAAAAAAAAATCATCCTTTAGTGAGGAATAGGCTTAAAAACAATTTTCAACTCTGAAGTATCATTGAAGAAGCAGCAGATGCTACTGCCATTAGTTAACTGAAAGATAAATCTCTTACAACATTAAGTTGATAATTATGTATAACATCATCTCTACTAATTTAGAAATCAAATATTTTGCTCTGTGGCATACATCCGTTGAGTTTTTTCGGCTTCCATACTACTTAGACAATGCACTATGGTTGCCTTGAGTTATTTTTCCATATCCCCAAGATTAAAACTAGACTTGGCGATTGTGAAGCAACCTGATTGGTCTCCATCCATCGGGTAGCATCTTGCAAGTGATAAAAGTCCACGAAGGCGAAACCACGGCTTATACCTAGAGACAGCATTCAAATATAGACGGGAGGCGTGTTAGTTAAGAGTCCATGGGCATATTATTCAAAGTCTTCCACAAACTGCTTCACGACCCAGGCCCTGTTTGGTACACAATAGGCCACTTCATAGGAGTTTTTCCATAGCAAGAATTCTCGCTGAATACCACTTTTTGAAACACACTCTATAACAAAGTGTGTCTGCCAAATGAATTTCTGTTCAACTGGTTATTGCTGCTCTTACTTACCTTAAATAGATCCCCATTGAACTGAAATGATTTGTCTAAAATCCAAATTGATAATAGCCTCTCCTAGCTGCTATGGGAAAATAGGTCTGAATGGAAGCAGATTGGCCCTATGGTCAACGACTGGGTGGGAGGTAGAGTTCCATCATCCATCTAGTTCTCACCTGTTTTCTTTTTCATCAGTCTGACATCCACTGGCTGCGGCCCTTCCAGTTGGTCTATGGCAAAACAAATCTGAACAATGTGCAAATGGTGCGTTACTATTAGATTCCATCCCCCTTTATTGAGGCATTACACTTTGCAAATTTTATGGGGAAAGATTTTAACAACCATAACAATATTCAATAATGGCAGAAGAAAACTAAGGACTTACATTGTCTTCGGTGACATTAGGAGACAGACCCCAGAGCATGATGGTCTTGCTTTTCTTCTCATCCCCAGGCTCCCTTCTATAATCCTGCTCTGGGTAGTCTCCATCGGAGTGATAACCATCTTCTGACCTATCACTATTACGTCGTTTTCTTTCTCTTTGCTTAGAAAAACAAAATGGATCAGTGTATCAGTTAATTTTGTATATCATCCAACAATACTTATATGATATAATGCTTCCATTGTAACTCAATGATATTAGAATGAAGAAAATACCTCTGGACTGTCTCGTGAGCCTCGACGATCTCCTTCAAAGCGATCACTGCGTCTCTCTTCGCCCCAGCGCCGCATGTTGTTATCTCGCTCCCGGTCCCTCTCCCTTCTCTCGCGCCAGTCTGGTTCATCACGTGATTGGTCAGAACCATATCTGCCGCTACGTTCTGTTCGACTAATCCTGTTCAGGGAGATGTGGAAAGGAAAAGCAGAAAATCTGTTCAACAAGTCTGCAATTGCACAGAAAATCATTAATATATGACTCAATTATTGTATCAGCAACCTCACAACATAATTCCTTGGTTAACAGTACACAAATCAATAAGCACGATGCTGTGCATTTCCTCTGTTGTAGGGCCGATGTCTTAAGTATGGTCAAAGATTTAAACTACAATTGTTCAACACACATTCAGTTGTTGAAGTAATTTTACCTGAACTTTTTCACATTTCAAATTTGAAAACCGTAAACAGCGGTTTTGGTATTGCGGTAAATTGCTTCAAACAATTGCAGAATGGATATACAAATTGATTTTCCTAAACTAATTTTTCAATTGACCAGACATGATGCAGGAAGACAGACACTATGCAAGTGTGCAACAAAATAACCACAAAACAAGTTAGCGGTTTACGATAGTGTTTGTGCCAATATACAGCCATGACCCGCAACCTTCTCTCAATTTGGAGAGCATATTGTCGAGCTCTATTATGTAGATATACATTATAATTTTCTTGTATTAAAATAATTTAGGTAGTTACTAATCAAGATTCAATACGCCATTGAAATTAAAGGGTAACAATAGTGCAATTATGTTCTACATTACTCCACAACTTTGGCATTTTTAGGCCCAATGAGAACACATGATTCCGCATGCATTATGGTCCGTTATTACGATGTTACGTGGACGTTGAATGTTGCTACGGTGGAATGGTGTGGTTACACATCCACAAACGTATAACGAGGTCAAACGTGAACAGTTATCAGCTTTCGCAGCTCCAATGTAAAACTCGACGGCAGGAGTTGCAGATGGTATTTAACGTTAGGTTACCATCCGATTAGCAAAAAATAAAACGAACGCTGCCATTTTATTAAGGCAGGCCCACCATGGCGAAGCTAACGAGTAGCTAACACTTACTCACCTTTTATCAGCTTCCATTTCTCCCGACTGCGCACACACACCCGAGTGACGGCTCTGGAAAATACAAATGCAACACGGCGGTGTTTCAATTGTTTAACAACAGTGAACATTCCCACAACAGTCAAACCTCCGTTGGCCGGGCTACGATGCACACGGCTAACTACTCGTAGCGTTAGCTAAACCATAACATGGATCCGGCCTAGTGTTAACAAGTAGACATAGCTTCAGCGAGAGGAAGACGTGCGTTGTTTCCGTTTCCAGTATGAATCTACAATTACTCACCTATGTTTTTTGTTTAAAATGTTAATACCCACAAGTAGGCTTTCAAAATAGTATTTGAATAACCGTGGGGAAGATAATTCATCTCACGTTCAAGGACTCTTCTCAGCACTACGTCGGTGCCTTCTTTGTCCCAAGATGCATTGGTGTATAACCCGGTGCATTGTGGGAAGTGAGAGCATATTGCACCTTATTTGCCTCGTAGACTCAACTTTATTCTGATACAGTACGCCCCCAACAGGTCCTGACAATGAACGTTAGTTATGATAGGTATTGACATTATAGGAAATTAACTCGAGTTCACAACTTGTTATAGCCAACGTTATAACCTATAACGATGTTAAAGAAGGAGACGCGCTTTCTCATTAAAGATCGGTGTTTGTGTTTTCGTGTGGTGCCTGAAAGTACACTTCACAAAAACACGTCCAACCACTTAACAGTTTGGCAGTGCAACTTTATTATCTAGATTATCTTTACATAGTTATATCTACAGTAAACTATTTTGTAATAATGTAGTTATTAAAATACTGCATTCAATTGCATTAAGCTATAAAACCTATGTAGCAATACTAAGGTTTCATAATATATTTGAATTCCAATTTTAACTCTTGGCATTAACACCTGTGTATTGGACTCACATGTGGTGTCCCACAATACTGTGTATATAATAACAATGATACATCAAATATCTTACTTTGTTGACCAGCTCTCATATGTACATTAGTGTAATGTGTACTATGCATGATTGTTTCAATTTGTCCTTGTTGAACCTCAAAATGTCAATATATGTATCTTCCGGTTAACCTTTCTAGTCTGAGAGCTACTGACCATTAAACTATTTTATATTAATAACATACCAAGTCAGTAAATGTGAGTAACTACAGTAAAGTACAACTTACAACAAGATCATTGTTCAGTATTTATTACAGTTATTAAATCGTGGAACATTACCAAACAGTTCACGTTACAAGCATGTCCTCAATAAAGATGACTACACAATTAATTGTTCAACTTGGCACACAAGGATGTTCCCCTTTCACAAATCTATAAAGGTGGTAATGACAATGCATACAACACAGATGTTCAAAAGTTGCGTTGATACTGGTCCGTAATTGAGCTCCATTTTCTTTTCAAACTAATTCTTTGAGCTTATTTTTTTTTGTTTTTCCCACATTGATGATTCTTGAGTCAACACCCAAGGCAGGCCCATATGTTCTATACAAAATTGTCATGAGGCAAAACAACACAAAACTCCATAAAATATAAAAATGGTCCACATGGTCCCATAAAAAGGAGGGTGGAATTCCATCAGACGTTTTCCAAAAATTAGGCAGGGGGGTGGACAGGTAACTCTGGGATACTATGAATTTCCATAATGATTTCTAGGTCAAGGTCTCTCCTTTCGTCACCTGCAACCGAGACAAGTAATTATGCAATGGTATGTCTTTTTGAAATATTCAAACAGAGAAAGGACTTTGGGTTGCACACATTACAAAGCAGTTTACTTACTCTCGCCTCAATATATTCAATCCTCCTCTCCAAAGCCGTCAGCTTCTCATTGAGGGTGGCCAAGCGGGATCGACACGACATATCTGAGGAGGACACATTGTGAAAAGACATACAACGTTAACGATAATCGGTCACGATTTTTTTTTAAGTACAGCTCGTCGCTTATGGTAGTACACAAATATAAAATACAAACGACAAAATATCACAACAAAGATCATCGTTTAATTCCAGGGGGTTATGATGCTGCTGGTAGCTAGCTTGAATGTGACTGACAGCAGAGGAGACAACCGAGCTGTCTCAACCCCTTTCATCTAGTAACTTAAGTCTAATCTTGCAATGTTTTGAATCTTTTACCCGCAACTAACACCCGACGAGCTAAACGTGAGGAAACCAAACTGAAACACTTCCCAGAGGAAACAATAACAAGCTCGCGGCTAACGATAAAGCTAACTGCTAACTGGGAGTGGCCATTGAAAGCATCAGCAGCAATGCTAGCAGAAGCAGAACTAGCTAACGCTAGCTAGCTCGAGCTAGGTTAGCTCTCTGGACGAGGTAACACTGTACGCAAAACAAATCGCGCCCTTCCAACTGGGCGTGAAAAGCTTACCGAATGAGTTAAGAAAGTCGGCGATTTTTTTAATGCTGCTCGTAATGACTTCGATATACTCTCGATTCGCCCAATCCTGGTGAATCTCCCGTTGCACTGGATCTTCCTGGCCAGCCATGTTGGACGAGTCGTAGTTTCGGCGCAGCGCGGAACCGAGCAGAGCCCCCCCGCGTTCAACCAGGAAGCACAGCGGAGTCTGCTGCGGCGGTTATTTATATATATTTATATATATTTTATTGTATTACGTTTATCCACTGTATGGTGGCGTTATCTAAGTGTACTATGCCAGCATTAGGTAACTACTTATGTGGTTGGGACAGATTCTTTTCACACTATCCAAAGACATAAGTGCTTCTCTTGTATCTCCAAAATTGCATGTAATGTAAACGCTTCTCTAAAAATACTGGACTTATTTGTGAATGTATGCGCTGTAAATACATAATAAAGCAACATTTGATACGACATTATGTGTTTATTTTTCTCTGCTTTGAATCCACCCCACTGCATGAGTTATACAGGCAGAATCGGCCTCTTACATGTTCATCAGAAACTCCCCACGCCAAAAGGTTTCAAAGAGCATCTTCATTCAGTAAATAGGCCGAACAGCCGTAGTGTACGAACATCACCGCGCAGGTGGAAACAAACGATGAAATACCTGCAATAAAAAGTAATACCACTGACACAACTTGGACGGAATTGGTTGTTCCTGTCAGTCACCCACAGCATTACTTGACTCTCTTCAGCAGCTCTTTAATATCTGCCTCAATATCAATGGTGAGGAAATTTCTGCTGTAACGCTTGTAGGGCTCCCCGTCGGGAGTGATCAAGAACTTCTCAAAGTTCCAGGAGATGTCGTTCCTACTGACGGGGCTCCAAATGATGAACTTTGGATCGGCCATGAGAGCCATGGCATTATCACAGGGGAACGGAAGCTTTTCCTTCAGATATACAAACAAGGGGTGGGCATCCTCTCCATTGACGTTCACCTTCTCAAGGAGCTGGAACTTGGGTTCGAAGGCATTCCCCGGACGGACGTACTTCAGAGACTGTAGGATCTCATCGTTCTTGCAGTTCTCCTGTTATAGAACAGACAGAAACATAGTCCCACTATCATTAACTGTAACTATTGGTTCCAAATGAATTGCATAATATTCATGTGTTACCACAGCTTTTTTTTTTTAATTCCAATGTATTGGTATACTGAACGCAACCCAAAAGGCAGTTGTAATGAATAACCGAAGATAGATAAAGGAACATCTTGCCATGGGTCTTATTGTAAAGTATTACACATGGGGGGGGGGGGCAGGGGCCTTCTTATCAGAGCAGGCAGACACAGATGCAGTTGACAGATCTTCTCGGGGTGCTATGCGGTTGTTTCTTCCCATTCTGTAGTCCTTGGGTCAGATGAGGGTTCACGTAAAAGGCACAGACTGTTTAATTGTTCACAGCTTCTCATTAAAAGACCCATCTAGGTCTTCGTATCTTACGCGTTCACACATGTCCTACCTGATGTCCGAACTGGTTGCAGGGCACACCCAGGATGACGAGGCCCTCGGTCGAGTAGCGACTGTGCAGCTCGTTCATCTGAGTGTAGTCCCTGGTGGTCGTTCCTCAGAGGGACGCCACGTTCTCAATGAGAACAACTTTGCCCTTTAGTGCGGAGAAACTGAAGCTTCCTCCGGACAGCAGCCTCGCGGTCAGGTCGTAAAAGCGCCTCATGTTCGCAGCCATTCTGCACAGAAATTATGGCTCAAGTCACACAAACAGTGAGATTAAGTGAAAAGGGACTTCTGGATGATCTCAATGTGGGAGAGTTTCCTCGAGGCTCTGCCCTCGTGAGGGGCGGAGCAGATGTCAACCCTCAAGGCGTTACTGGTTCAAATGGATGGAACCTCCCTTCCTTTTCTGTAGACATTCATCATGTTCAGTCACAAAGTAAAATTTCCACATGTGATATTATTGCAATTCTTTTCTGACTCACATGGCCATTTGAGGAAGAGGCAATATAAATGATTAGCGTTAGAGTCAAACCAGTGTCTTACTAACCTATGTTTCGGATCACTAATCATGCATTTTTGCACTTCTAGAGAACACAGACCACAGCTTCCATTCAAAATGGCAAAGGTGAAGAAAGTGTAAACAATGGCCATCTCAATAATGAGGGTCGACGGGTTTTCCAACGTTGTAATTCATCAAATGTTCATCACTTCGAAACACCAAACCTACTCAGCGATGGTATCAATCTGGATTTGGATACATGTTTGCGACATGGATACGTTTGTCTTTTCCTTTTTAGTTTTACAAGTGTCTCTGTGACAGAGTCCCCCCCCCTGTGGTCGATCTGGATGGTATCTCCCAGGAAGCACCGCGCAATGTGTAATAGCGAAATATATTTCGAGGTAATTCAAGTGAACAACTGAAAATCAACCAAACGCGTGCTAAAACACGTGGTCTCCATAGCGCCACCAGATACTTTGTAAGACAAAACAAACAAAAAAACCCGGTGTCGAACGGGTTGAGAGGAAGTTAATTGAATAACGGCGGCCCGCCGCGCCGTCAAGCCGATCATGGCAGACTGGGCCGGACTGTGTGTGGCCACCAGCCTGCTGGTGGTCCTTCTCACCGCGGCCGGGTACGCGTTGTACTCGGGCCTCCTCTCCGACATAACCGTCCTGACCGGTTCCCCCCCCATCAAGAAGATCACATTCGTCTACAAGTTCAAAAAGGGTCCGTACGAGAGTTGCGGGGAACTTTTCAAGGAGTCTCGCGGTATTGGACCGAAGCTTTCGCGTATCGGAGTGTATTACGACGACCCTAAAAAGGTAAATATTCCCGACACACACTTTACCGGAACAGTTCTTTCTTTTACCGGTGTTTTGGTTAACTCAATATGTTAACTTTTTTTAAAAAAAAGGGAGATTTTACGATGTCAACTTGTTTCTGTGGTCAACCGCTAGATGGCGCTGACGTCATTCTCTTAAAACCAGTGAAGCGCTTTATGGTTAATTCTCACTAGATAACTGCTGGTGTTTATAATTATTGATCCAGTGAAATGTTTTCACCTTTTTAACCAATAACCATTTGAGTCAAATTTCATGTAGTCAAACACCCTTTCTTTTATTTTTTTTACAGTTTTCTGTAATGACTTTTGGAACTGACAGTTTATAAGTTTTCTAGAGAGCACTATCATGATCTGCACAGGGTGTGGTGTGTGTAGTGGATCCATAGATGTCACAGATGTATTCAAATATTAACCATATGCTTGTTGTATGTATGCTAATTCATGGTCCTGAGAAGTAGGGAACAGCACTTTTCGGTCTATGGGGATATACAGATATACTTTTTTTTTTAATTAAATGAATTCCAATCAAAGCCGTGAACTATGATCAACTACTAATATAATCCACCTTAATAAAAAATCCATTACAAAAATGATTTATTGAGATATACTGTTCATATTTTTTTGTTTCACATTCTTCAAATTGACTCTGATTTAGATAATTTCACATTTTAAATGAGATCTGCTGATCTGCTTTAGCTTTATCGACGGCCTCAGGTTGGCTCCTTAGCTGCCGATGTGCCTTTTGGTGTCTGACTGGTGTTTTGTTTGTGATCTGTTGGAGGTCCACCTGCAGCTCTGAAGTCTTACAGCGTATTTATTAATCCTCATACATATTTCATTAAACCACTTCCCAGGTGAGTTCTATTTGATTCACCCCACAGTCCGATGACTAAAGCTTGTATTGTCAGCTGGTGTCTTTGTAATATTTATTCAATTTAACCATTTTTCAGTTGCATACAAAACTTCAAAATGGGGGAATGTTACAACGCTTCAGTGGATGTGACAGAAACCCTTTTGGTTGCATCTACCATCTCACCAACGCCGCGTTGGATCCGTCCGTCAGATGTTTTTCCTGCTTTCCGAACCGTTCCCCGTGTGAACTCCATCCATCCCCAAATCTCAAGTGTCTATAACCAGCGGGCGATATCATCTGCTGGATCTGTTTTCCTAATACATAATCCTGCTCACGCCCGGGTCTCCAGAGTCCCGCGGCGCTGGTTCCCACCTTCTCAAGAGAATCCAGCTTGAGTTGTATTTTCAAAAGGCTCTTCCCAAACAGAACGAGAAGGAGTGAGACAAAGAGTAGCCCCAAATGGTTAAGCGGGACAGTTTGATGTGCTGGGGAGGGTCCGGAGGTTCAGGTTGCAAAAGGGGATTTGTGGAAAACACGGTAGCAGAATGTAGAACGCTGTGTGTTGACCTCTTCACTCATTGAAGAGCTGGAACATGAATCACATATTTGGAGATATCATCAATACACCTTGAATATCCAATAAGCCCTCAATAAAGACCACTCTGCAATAATTTAATTGATAAATAAATAATAGATGATTACACAGAGCAGCAGGCTCTTATTGATGTAAAGAGGGTGGACAAAATAATAAAAACATGCGTACTACTGGCTATTATTGACTCCTGTCTAAATTAGTTTATAAAAAAACGGAGCTTCATAACATTGCTGAAGGAAGGTCGGATTAACTGTCAGTCTGTTGTATTTGACATTTGGTCACGAATGAAGTTTACCTGATAGAAAAATTATTTTACTGTATTAGACAACAAACTAAATGGATACAGGTGTAAAAAACACCTGCACCTGTGGGAAAATGTGACTCTTTTAATATGCACTTCAACAGGAAGTGGGTTCTGTCCTCCGTGTAGGAACCTAAATCTCACCGCCAAGGAAAGGCTTTGCCGGCTTATGAAGGTGGGCAGCAAAGTCATTGGGGCGAGCCAGCTGCGGCTTTACCTTTTAACAGGAGGGTCCTCGGCGAGGCCCACAATATAACCGACTTTCCTCCTCAGCCCGCACGACCTTCAGGCCGTAGATCAGGGAGACAAAAGCACACGTTGTTCTGGCTCTGGTCTTTTTGTCTAGATGCTTGCTGTAACTTTTTCTTTTTTACACTAGATGCAACCACATTCCCATCGTTGGCTTAATAACGTCTGACTGAAAAAGGTGTTCAGCCTTGTTGTTTAAACTGGCAAGTGAATGTATGTTCCTGTAGTTAGAAATGATTATTCCTTCTTTTTTCTTCACATGTTACATACTTGCATGTCAGTAAAAATGTTGTAGAAGGAGGCGCTAATTGTCAATACCCCAAATTGTCAAATATTGTCAACTATGCGGTCCGATCCCCCTTTTTTTAAGTGTCACTCAACAGTTTCCACGTGCATGTCTGTTGAATATGCGGATGTCTGCCTCTGTTGGAGCTGCCGTTCACCACTATCGACTTAAGCAACGGTGCACTTTGGACCTGACGCAACCAGATGGAATGCAACCCGAGTCTAGAGGGGGACTGCGGTCCCCAGCGCTGATTCAAAAACACTTTTGTTGTGCCCATCCTCTCTTTTTTTTTTCCCAGGCTGGCAGTGGGCGCTAGTTGCTCTGCACAGTCCCAGCCAGGTCCCGATCTAAGTCAAAGTAATTGGAGTAATGACCTGAGCTCATTAGCGCCCGAGCCTCCCAGCGCCAGGAGAACCAGAGGGGGCCTCTCGCAATGGACGACTGGCATTTGGTGTCTTGAGTGGTGAGACGCTGTCCATTCATATTTGCACTGAGAAAGATTTTCCAAAAGTGCAGCAGACCGAGTAGAAGTGTCAGCGCGGCCGGTCTGTTTTCTCACTTTTACCTCCTTTTTTGAATCACTTCCTCCGGAGAAACAGAAGACCTCGGCAAGGACGTGAGTTGGTCTTCGGGCGGTTGCCATGGTTACAGGGCCGGAGTAGCTCTGTCGGTTTTTTTGAACGGTGAACGCGGCCCCGCTCACCGAACACAGCCTCAAAGCCAGGGGGTTTCGGACCCAGTCCTCCCACTTCACCACCAAACGCCCCCCACCCCCCCCGTTCCACCCCTGCGTCCAACTTTGACAAGTGTCAAAGGGCCCTCGCGGGGGGGGGTGGACCATGAAGTTGTCTGTCAAACTGCATATTCCCAGTAAGCAATAGGGGTCAGGGTTTCGGACCGTGGAGACGTAGGATGTCTAAATACAGAGCCATGTGACCATGTGAGTGGTGGTGGAAATGACGCCCATGTGTGTGTGTGTGTGTGGGGGGGGGGGGGGGGGGGAGGTGCGCGCGTCACTGGGGACCCATGTTTTGGGTCAAAAGTCGACGGGGCCGGTCAGGAGGACACGCGTATCCGTCTGAAGCGTCGGGCTTTGTGGTGGATGATGAAATGATGGAGAATCTCTCTGATAATTGCCCGTGAGCCTCCCCGAATGGCAGTGCGTTACTTTGTATGCCGGTGGAGACAGTTTTTCCCGTTTCTTACTTTGTAAGAATGCCAAAGTCAGCTCGGCCCATGCACAGCTGAGGAATTCGGAATTTCGGAAACCTTTTGCTTCAGACGTGCTGTCAGTGCATTGAAGATCCTCAAAAGTCACCACACTTGATCAGTGCACGGAGTGACGGAGGCGTGTGCTCTGGTGCTGGTTCATTGATCCGGCCGGATCCTGTGATGATAAATAGATCCACTTGGCTCTATTATTTTCCCACTGTGAGCCCCCCCCCCCTCCCCCCCAAAATGGTGTTGAAAGTTTCCCGAATGCACCTTTTACATATATTTACATATATCCAAACATCACATTGGATAATCCGCTTCGAGTTTGGTTATTTGTTGCTTAAAAAAAACCCTCAAACCAATTCAATCAATCAATCATCACACAAATCTTGTGAAATATAATCCCGCCAGTTCTCTCAATTTGTACCTCTTAAAAAGAGCTGAGTACAAAAGATTGTTTATTAGCTTTACTCAGGGAAATCTATCTATCGCAGGATGAAATCAGATTAGGAACTGATTACATGAATCAGAATTGAGTAAATCAGTGTAGTAGACAGCATTTTAGTTGTCTACTACACTGATATATATGATATAACATCATATATCTTATTAACAATACTCAAAACAATCTGTTGTTCATCTGCAGCTACCAAAATCCTCCTGGATCAGATGCATGTTTCTCACATCCTGCAGGTTTTCTGTGTGCGTGTTGTGTCAAATTTGAATGTGCATAATTAGCCTACTGTGCAGTGGCTGGTGAACACCACACTTCTGCCCATTACTGACCTTTCATGTGAAGGAATACGGGAGAAAAAAAAGGCATTCTCGGACACACTGGCTGTGCTAGAAGCCTGGTATTGCTGGATTTATGGACAAATTGGACCATTCCGCTTTATTTATTACAAGAGCCTTCAGCTCAGCTGAGTGGGGAGAAAGTCTTGGATGTCCCAGGAGTGTTCATTCGTAAAGAGTGTCTCCCTTTTCTTCTTTTTTTTTTTTAATGGGCACCAGGGTGTTCAGAATGGAGGAAGGAGCAATAATTGCGGTGCTGCCAAATGGTCCAATTAGAGCTCCGATTAAATGAGAATCCTTTCTCCTTTACATTCAACACCTGGCTGACATCAGAGAAGACACCAACTTCATGCTGTATTTCTGTGCCCACCAAAGGGATCTTATAATGTGTCTCACTCCCCTTTTCTCCGAGGTGGGTTGACTGGCAAGAAGAGAGATGGTGTTGGGATTTGTGCAATCAGTTCATGCACAAAAACGTCGGCAAACACTGCGAGTTGTTCCGGCCATCCGTGCTTATGTGGTCGTATTGGAAGCTCGGTGTAATTATTGCCGTAAAGAATCATAATAATGAGGGGAAAACGGAAAGGCCAAATGCTGATACGGCGACGGCGAAGTTTCATCTTTTCTTTGATCTATATTTATATCTGATCACCCCAGATCTTTCAGTCCACTGCGCTCGTATCCTCTCTCTATTTACGTCTTCATTTGGTCCTCGTTTCCAGGTGCCGGGACCACAGTGCCGCTCTGCCGTCGGCAGCATTCTGAGCGAGGGGGAGGACCAGGCGGACGAGGAACTGTTGAGGAGCTACGAGACATCTGGCTTCAAAGTCTTTTCCTTCCCCGAAGTCACGCACGTGGTCACGGCCTCCTTCCCCCACAGGACCTTTTTCTCCGTCCTCCTGGGAATGAGAAGGGTTTACCCACGGCTAGAGGACCACATCAAGGTATTCTGCCAATCACTCCCATCACCCAATGTGTTTACTCAAAGAAAGGCTAAATATCACAGGTATAAACATCCATTATGAGCTGCCGCCTGTATCGTTATTTTAGTGGTCGGACCCCGGAAACGTGAGATGTGAAATGTGTGTGATTGTGACGGGGCGAATCGTGACTGACTGCAAAGGTGAGTCTACATCGAGCGGTAGCGGAGGAGCGATCGGTATCCGACCCGGTGATCGGCACATGTGCATCGGAGGTCATGCTGTGTGTGTTTTCGGGCAGCTGTGTTTTAATAAAAGCCGAGCAGCTTTTTTTCACATGGCCGAGCGTTGTGAGCACGCGTGTGCGTGTGTGTGTGTGTGTGTGTTTTAGGGGAGGGACAACACCAGGCCGAGGAGGGAACGCTAAGACAAAGGAGGAGAGGGGAGGAGTTAGCACTTTCTGATGAACGATCTTGCGGCGTGCTGCTGGGGGGGGGGGGGGGGGGGGGGGGGGGGGACGCTGAGAGGGTTCGTGGACGTGGTTTTAATTATGCAGCGCGTGGAAGCAGGTGGCCACGCCACAGGTCGTCTCAATCACCGGGCTGCTGCAGGAGGAACGTGTCCGGCCGCCTCCACCATCTGCCGGGAGGCTGTTTGGATCTGCCTGCGCGCCTGTGACACTTGAGCCTGTCTGAGAGGTCGGCTTACGCAAGCAAATTCAGTCTCCTTTACCCGCGTAAAAAGACGTGTCCTGTCATTTACTGTGGCGCGTCAACACTCACCGGCTGCAGGCATTTGCAGCCGTTTAAGCTCTGTTACGTTTAGGAATCAACGAGACCTCCGATTAACATTCGTGAGGTAAAGAGATACTTATTGAATCAGATGTGGGAATAAAAGATGCTACGGTTCGATGGTCTTTGATGCACTTTGCTCAACTTAGATGGAACTATACAGGATGGATGCATGTAGACTGGAAAAAACAACCCGTATAACCTGCATGAGGGAAGAATCTTCCATCTGAAAGACTCCCCCCCCTCTCTGGTCTGGGTACTGTGAGAGATCCTGACAGTACAATGTGGATTCATCAAGACGGCACATTCCAATCCACGGTCATTTATGTTTAGAGGTTCAGGAAATGTGTGTAATGTCATTTTGGTGTTAAATTCCAGTTACTGTGTCGTCATTTAAATCCGGCCATTTCACTGTCATCCGATTGACGAAAACCAGCTGTCCCCCTTTTTGAAATTGTTGAAGCATTTAAAATAGCAACATGTATTACCTGTCATGCTCCTTTCTACCTTTTACTACACCGACACTTGCTGAAGGGAGTTGAAAACGCGAGTTGAAACCCCCGCTGGTAGTTTAATTATAGTCAGCCGCCGCATGAGAAGGCGTTAAATGAATATCTTCATCGTTTGTGGAGCAATGTTTAACTTCATTCCTGCATAAAATGCAACAAGAGTATCTAAACTGAAACGTGGCTCACCTTTCAACAGAAGCAGAATCCCTCCCTGTTAATACGCCGTGCTGTTGACACTCTGGATGTCCCGAGAGGGGAGACCTTTTCGAAGCAGCTCATCTGCATTTAGCGCGCGCGGCTGGTCGCGCTGGAACGCTTTCTGTCTGTCAGGCGCTCTGAGGCGCCGGCCCGGCGGTCGGAGCCTGATATTTGCACAGTCAGACCATCGATCGGCCCCGGCGTGTTTTTTTTCTCCCTCCCGTGCCGTGGCTCTTTAGCGGGCGGGACCACATCACAGATGCCTTGGTCGCCTTGAGGCTCGACGTAAGCACGGTGGCCAGGCCTTCACACTGGAGTGGGGGGAATAATATCGCTGACATTCACTGAGATCTAAAGGTTTGTGAAAGGCAGACGATGGGACATTTGTTCGCTTCGGGGCTACTTAAGCTTCTCGCCAACACGGACGTTGTGGTCTGAATATAAAGAGAGTTCCTTTGTTCCTCCGAAATGGCCTTTTTTAGTAACCGACACGCCGGGTGTGACAGTGATCACAAAGTCTTCCTCAGCACAATAAAGATTAAAGGCTCTTTTTTTTTTTTTTGGAGACATAAGGGCCCGCATCTCACAATTGCTATTAGTGTCACCCACGTGGAGCGATGCAGAGCAGTGGACAGATGCTGGTCCGCAGGCAGACTATTCAGAAAGGTCAGAAAAGGTTATGTGCTGGACAAAGTGAGGCAGATGCAGACGCTGCAGGACGAAGGATCCGGTGTGATTGGAATTGCTACTGTGGGCGTGTCTTGAAAATATCCATATCATAAAGAAGAGGATGTCACGGGAGCGGGTGGGAGGCAGGACTCAAACGCAGACTTGTAGGGGAAAACAAAAGACTTTAATAGTCAAAAGGCCAAAAACATAGGAACCGGGAGGAAAAACAGCAGGCAAGAAACTACAGACATCCACAACAAGAGACAAGAACATGCGTGACGAAAGACAATGACGCGACAAGTGACACAGGAGACACACGGCTTAAATACACAAGGGAGGTGCAGGTGATTGGACACAGATGGAAACTATTAAGACGATCACAGGGGATGACGGGACAAGGCAGGAAGTGAAGTTAACCGGGGACACAAGTGGCAGAAAATTACAAAATATAACAGGAAGTGAACCACACCGTGACAGAGGACACAGCATATAGTAAACAATTGAATATTCCGGGGGAGGATCTGAATTTAAATCAAAAGCCTGTTAAGTCGCGTTCTATGCAGAACTTTTTGAGTTGCATCCGAGTATTGAAGTTGCAAATGTCTCTTCTTTCTGTTTCAGTTGTAACTGACAACACTGACCAGGTGCAGGGACCAAAACATGTGGTTGGCTTCATTAGGAAACGACCTAATAAATGGTCAGTTGAAATTGACTCCTCAAAAATATCATACGAATCATTCAAATTCATCTGGCAAGAGTAAGAACTGTTCGTCTAAGACCTCAGATTCTGTTTTTTCGTCCGTACAATAGATGTAATTTACTGTCATTTACTGTGTCGCGTCAACACTCACCAGGCTGCAGCTATTTGTAGCCGTTTAAGCTCCATATCATCGGAAGCACTGTTCCGTTTAAGAATCAACGAGACCTCCGATTAAAAGCTAAAGAGATACTTATTGAATCAGATGTGGGAATAAAAGCTGCTACGGTTCAATGTGCTTTGATGCACTTTGCTCAACTTAGATGGAACCATACAGGATGGATGCATGTAGACTGGAAATAACGACCCGGTATAACCTGCATGTTATGTTGGTATGTTGTTGTTAATTCAAACCGATTGATTACACCAATGCACAAAAACCACCGGGCCTCGTAAAATCAAGTATGTCGCGTCACGATCCTGCAGGCCGGCTCTCCCCGCGGGACGCTCGGCTGGAGTTTGCCCGACAAATGTTCAAACATGGCTTTAATCCTCCAGCAGCTGGGAATCTACTGTCGGTGTTAAATGTCACATCTACATACGATTGATCTGATCCCAACGATATCCTCTGTCGCACAGTCGCTCTGAATCAAGATCGGGCAGGGTGGGATTTCAGTCTAAGAAGGGTAGTTATTTTTAGACACGGGACAACTGTTTTGTGCTGGCGGACATTTTTTTCAATCACTTTGGATGCGAAGACGGAGCAAAACGCCTGGAAGACGAACGCTGGCCAGTTTGAAGTTATCGGCCCGTGATTGCGGTGTTAAACATTGAAAGTACCTGTAAATAATAACCACGACTCGAAATGAGACAGCGGATACTCTGTGTTTTAAAGGTCAATGAACGGGGTAAAAATAGAAACGCATTTCCGGCATTTTAAAAACAAAAAGCGGACACACGTTGAAATGTCCAAACTTTCTGTTGGCATATTTGTGATTGGACGATTCACCCAAAGTAAAGTCCTGATGTTTTAGCTCTATTAGGAATACATATTGCCTTCTTAAAGCTTCTTGTCGGTTGTATGTTCACACACACACACACACATTCTCTTTATGTCTAAATATTGTTGGTCGTGTCTTTTGTTGAGACCGACATGCAAATTAAATGGACGTCCTCCAGTGTCCTCTTGAGGGATTTTCTGCAAAGCAATCCAAAAGGCAATTCTGAACCGCTCGAGTATGAGTCGGACAACGGGGGGGACGGGGGAGGGGGGGGGCACCTGACCAAGGTGCTGAGGTTTGGGACCTCTGAGCCGAGGAAAGAAAATGGGCTTAAGACTTAACTGCTTTATTCGGCTCAGTGACTTTCTAACAGTTCCCTTGCTCATTTGTCGGTGCTGAATGAGTCCGTGTAAAGAGTGGCAGCGCCTGCTGTCATTCTGTCAGCCCCTTTGAACCCCCCCCACCCTCCAAACGGGGCTTTGAAATGACATGTAGACAACAAGCGGCTGCAGGTGAACTGTTCCGTTGTCCTCCGCTCATTGCAAAACAAAAGGACTCTCGGAAAGTGTCCGAAAAGAGTCTTACCACGTGTTAAGGAAACACTTCTGTGCTACTGAATCAGTCACGTGACGAAGCAAAACGCCGAAACGACCAAATGAATATGAGGTGACTGGATACGGTTCGAAGTGAAGCGGCAGTAAATTGCTGGGGTGAAGATCTACCCCTAATGGAGTGGTATCCTCCATAATCTCACAAATGACTGTCATCAACACACCGGCTGCAGGAAGCGGTCAAATGTCACCCTGAATCACACGTTCTTTGTTGCCACTGATGGCCGGCGTTTTTTTATTTCTATTTCCATCTTGATTCCAACGCGCGTGTCGCCGAGACGAGCGTTAACGCCGTGTCAGCGCGCGGCCATTTTTTATCCAAAGGTCACCGTTGTCGTCCATCAAAAATGTGTCTACTTGTCTTTTTTGGAGTACTACTGCATATCGCTCACAGGGGAAGCTGGACGAAATCGGATAAATTGCCCCAAATGAGGAAGCGTCAGTCTGAGCTGCGGCGTCAGAAAGGAGAGATCTAATTGGTGCAAAAGCTGCCAATCATCTCCGCTCGGGGTTTAGCGACTCGGGTGGCAAAATTAGCTGCTGCTAGC